GGGTCACCAGCAGGGAGGTACTAGGGCCCGGGCGGCCCCCAAGGGCTGCTCTGGACAGGGTGCTTCAGAACCGCAATGGGCACTGAAACTGGGAAGGTCCTGGCCATGCACAGACGGAGGGGAGAGAAGATGCACCCATCCAGGGGCAGCAAGGGATCCGTGCTGTCAAGGGTCCGGCAGAGGCTGGTGTGGGCGAGCAGTCCCTTGCGCTGGGCTCAGCAGGAAGAGAGCAGAAGAGTCCCATGGCCTCCGAGTGCCTTCCTGCCCTCTGCCACGTGGGCAGGGCACTGAAGGTCCCGAATCCAGGGAGGGTGGGTGTGGAAGTGACGGACAGAACCCAGGGGTGCAGCTGGCCTTGAGCAGCCGTCCCTCCCCAACCAGGAGCACCACCTCCTTGCGTGGCAGAAATTTCACTAGATCCCTGGATGACCCTGACATTGTCATGGATAACGTGATCTATCTGACAACACATTAAAAAAAGAGTATAGGGCTGGAGATTCAGCTCAGTGGTGCTGCCACCTGCCTCACAAGTGCCAGGTCTTGAGTTCAATCCCCAGTACCCAAAAAATAAAATAATAATAATAATAATAAATAAATAACAATAAAATGCCAAGGCGTAAGAGAAAGGAAACATTTACACATGACTAGGACAAAACGCTGGCGCACGCAGCACAGGTCCTTTGGCACGGAAAATGAAGTGGTCAGCACCGTCCGGTGGAGTCCTGGAAAACCCTACGGATTGCACGGCAGCCCTGCAGGACCGGATGTGCAGCACGAAGTCCAGGCAGGCCAGCCCTGCTGCAGGTGAGGACTGGTGTGTCTCCGCCTGTCCGGCCCCAGGGCTCTCTCGGTTTCTACTCCATTACCAAGTTGCCAGCGATGACAATCAGATGTTCAGTCAGCAACAAATATCTGGTGACAGCAGAAGGACCAGGTCCTTCTGCTCTGATCCCTCACCGCGTGCGGCTGACGCCGCTGTATAGATCACGCTAGCTGTCTGCACTTTTAAATCATAAATATATGTTAAAGGTTATTTAATACCTTTCCTGAATCAACTGGCAAAATTAAGTGATAAATTTTTATGACCTGAAATTGCCTACATGTGATAAATTCTTACTCCTGAGATAATTTGAAAATATGTAGCCTTGGACTCAGCTAGCACTTTATTTAGGCTCTCTGATTCTGCCTCTGGCAGCCGTGCATTGCTGGCTCAGTCTGACGACTCCTCTGATAGCTCAGTTACTGTAATTATTACCTTAGCCAGCGTGTCTCTGCCCTCTAACTTCACACTTGCCATATGTGGAATTTTCATTTTTAAGAAACTTATTTCCTGCTTCTCACTGGATCTATATCCCTTTTAAAAATGATTCTTTTTGACCTCCCTTGTCACATGTGCTTCTCTATCAGTTCCTTAAGCTCGTCTGCCTCTCTCTCTGGGCATCATGGAACAGGGCAGCAGCCTGGCTTCTCGCTTGGGAAACTGAACGTGCCTGTTATGTTCATCAGTCTAAAATTTTAGTTTTGCTTCTTGTGGGTATAATATCTCTTTCTCTCACCCTCTTTTTTAATTTGGCCATTAAACAAACCACTTAAGGCCTTTAAGCTTCTATATCTCTTACATTCTTGTGACTTTTTATTTGAATATTTTATCAATTTCTTTCAAAGTATAAACTTACATAAAAAATTTCTGAAGTCTTTATGTTCAAGGGTATTTTTTTTATTAACCCTTATGGTTAAATGATAATATCCTTGAATGTAAAATTTAGGATTCTCAGTTATTTTCTTTTAAAAAATATCTACTTCACCAGGCATGGTGGCACATGCCTGTGATCCCAGCACTTGGGAGGCTGAGGCAGGAGGATCTCTGTGAGTTTGAGATCAGCGTGGGCTACATAGCGGGTTCCAGGTCAGTCTCAACTACATAGTGAGACCCTGTCTCAAAAGAAAAAAAAAACCTACTTCCTGAATTCATGTTGAGGACAAGTTAGGTAGCATAAATTTGACCAGGTAGGTTATTTTTTTCAACTCTTGAGACGTTTTGAATAGTCTCTTTTCCTTTGAAATTCTTAGATTTTATTGTAGTGTATTTAGGCATGGAATGAGCCTTTTAAAAATGAATTCTTTCACTGTTCATTAATTCTGAAAGTTGGTCATGATGTTTCCCTTCCATTTATCTCTTTTATTTTAGCACACTCATTGTCAGCGCAGAGCTTTGTCTATTCTATCAGCGTCTTTTCTTCACTCATTATAGTTTTTCTAGTTACTGTTTCCTCTTGGTCCTTCCTGTGACTCCTTGCTCTTGCCTTATAGTATGTACCTGCCACCTCATGGTACGTTCTCATGTGTTCAGCCCGCACTGTGGGAGTGTCCACCTCACCACTCCATTCCAGGAGCTCCTTGCCCTGGGCTGCTTGTTCTTAGCCAGTGGCGGATGGGTTTCTTGGGTGTCTCCGCGGTGTCTGCTGCCTGGTTAGGATGCGAAGGGGCGAAAGTGAGATCCGGTTAGGAGAACACAGCCTATCGCTCGCTTCCCTTGCCTGCACTTGGCCAGCAGCCCCACTGCAGGATTAGTTTCCATCACTCACTGGGTGAGTGGGCGTTTCCCGGGCTGAGGGTCTGCATGGAGAAGAGGTGTGGGGCGCACGCTCGGGCGTGGCTGGCCAGGATTCCCCTGTTCTCCATCGGCCTTTCCTCCTCTCCAGAGAGGACCAGGAACAAACGGCCAGCGGGTCCCGAGGCATCCGGTGACTGTTCCAGGCAAGAAGAGGACCGGAGATCCTTTTGGAAACCAGTCCCTTGCTGCTGCTGCTGCCGGAAGCCTTCATAGGAGCCGTGGCCACCAGCTCTCGGCTCCCACTCACCACTGGCAGACAGGCGCCCCTTCCCGGAGTTTCCTTGTTTCTCTTGTTCAGGCTTCCAGAGAACAGGCTTCCTTTGGACCCCTGCAGCTTTTCCATGGTTGGTCCGAAGAGATCTGGACAGGACTCGTGCAAGCCCTCTGATAGGGGTTGCAAGCCATTATTTATCCGAAAACACTACATCCCGAGCTGACCCTCTTTGTTGCCTCTATTTTCTTTCTATAATTTTTCTTGTGATAAAGTATACAAAACTCAAAGTTTCCTGTTTTTACAATTTTGTGTTCTGTAGCGTTAAATACACTTTAATTTTCGTGCAATCTCTATGCGTTTATGTTGTATACATCTTGAGAAAATTTCTTAATATGTTAATCCTTTAAAATTGTTCATGATAACCATATTTCTATCTTCTAAGACTTATTGTGAAGCATTTTAATCTTATTCAACAGGTGTACTGTACTTCCTCAGACCCCTCTGAATGACTGGAGATTATTGGATTATCTATCTATCTATCTATCCATCTTTCCTCCCCCTGGATTATTCTCCTTTCTTCTGTTCTGTTCATTTTTCTAGGTCTGTCTCTTTTACAGTGATTTTTCTCTTCATTGTTTTGTGAGTTTTGTCTACTTATTATCTGCTAAAATGGAGAACCAAAATATTAAAAAGTCCAATTTTTGTAAAAGTTAAGAAAAAGAAGAGAGATGAGTGTAACAGAGACAATTTAAATTGAAATAGAAAATAAATAATTGTATGATGGTGTGAATAATCTCAAGCCAGTCAGTAATTATATTAAATGTAAATGGACTAAATGAACTAAATCAAAGTCTAAGATTTTTTGCTAGATATGAGATAATAACTGTTTTCATTACATGCTGTATATTATAAATATGAGGGCAGAAAGTAGTTAAATTGCAGACATTAATGATGTAGACTTAATGGTAAGAAATATTCTGAATCTCAATAGCACAGATTTGTTTTTCCTGTGGATGAAATGACAGTGGCCTTATCTAATTCTGTAGATGCCCCTGCTTGACAAAGAATCAAAGCACACAGAAAAGAAATTAAACAATTTTCCCTCCCTCTGCAATGTAGTAATTAAAGTTTTGCTGGCTTCACCAGCCCTTGTGTCTAGCATTTTACTGATGTGTGCAAATTTTGGTACAAATATAGATTTTTACCAACTTTTATATCCAAGGAAGTAAACTCCCAACAGTGGGACTGTTTAGAAAAAGCTAAAAGCACTGGGGCAAAAAAGAGAGGTTGGGCGGAGCTGAGACCCAGCAGTTTGCCTCCTTGGTTACTATAACTGACACTGGAGACCATGAGGGCTTGAGATCCGGCCAGGGATGAAATGTGATTTGAATTCTTAAGGCAGCTCAGGGCCGATGGCTTGGCTGGGTGGTACTCACACTGAGGTGCACGACAGACATCCTCTCAGAGTTGACTACACCCCAGGGTGCGTCTCCTTTCTACCTTCGGGGAGTGCTCGGCGAACACAGGGCTGGCAGGATTCCTGCTTTGCGGGTCTGAAGCCAAGGTGTGCAGCTTCTCTCGCTGCGCTGTTGGCAGAGTCCAGCTGGGCCAAAGCTGCCCTGTGGACATCCACACCCTGGGAGAGCAGCACCGCTTATCAGTGATCACATAAACACAAAACTGGCAGCATCTTGCAAAGTCACTTGGCACCTTATTAGAAATGATGGACAGCAGACAAGCGGGCCCCCAGGGTGCAGAATTGCCCTGCACGAAGCATCTGCCTGGATGAGGGCCACAAGGACTCCATGGAAGGCCAAGGGCGGAAGGAGGAGAGAGGGGGCAGAGGGAAAGAGTAATGGCAGGAGAACTATTTTAGGAGTCGCCTTTCCTGTGAGTCACGTCCCCCCGGATTATCGAAGCCAGGACTCTGCAAGGGGCGTGTAGCCCGCGTTGCCTTCTGACCTGGTCCTCTGCCACAGAGCTCGATTCGTCCAGCACACAGCGCACCAGAGTTGTATTTCTTGGAGCAAAACTAGAAGCGATTTCTGGTCTTTCCCATGTGGTTTGTTTACTGGGTTCCGGCTGGTTTAATCTTATCAGCTCCGCTCAGAACATTCTTCCTGTGGCTCATCTCCCGGCAGACAATTCGCCATTCCTAGCTACCTCATTAGTGTCAGAAAGCCGGAGGGGTGCTGGCCAGGCTGCAGCAAGGGAACAACTGGAGGGAAGGAAGAGACAGAGGCAGAGCAGAGGACAGGGAGGGCCCTGGTTTCCTTCTCGCGTGTGTTTACGGTACGTTTTCCCTCTTACTCTTCAGATCCCTTCGGTGGAAGGCAGGAAAATGCCCTGCAAAGAGAATGCAGCCAAAGCGTAAATCAGCAGAAACAAGGGCACACGGGACACAGCTGTGGTCCCAGCACGCCCAGCGCAGCGCAGCCCATCCCGCGCCCGTCAGAGACCTGGCAAGGCCTTGTCTCTGACAGTAAGAGGCCAGAGCGTAGCTCGGTGTGAAGGGTTAGGCACACAGGAAAGTGAATCAGCCTGCTGGTGCCGGTGGTGGCTCCTCCGGTGGGGACAGTGATCGTCCCACCCGATAGCAGAGGAAGCCGAGGGGCAGGAAGGCGAAATTACCGGCCCGTGGGTGCATGCACAGCAGCCGAACGCTGGGGTACAAGGTCTTCACACTGCGGCTCACTCCCTCCTGCCCTAAACAAGAATGTTCTCATCTGTGGCATTTAAAATAGCGATAAGAGTAACAGTGTCCTTACAGCAAGCAAAAGCAGGAAATAGCTAAATTAATTAACGTATCACCAACGTTTTGAAGCCATGAAATTCATATTTTAAAAATATTTTCGGGGAGGAAAGACTTCCCAAGACAGAATGTGTGTAGCCTGGCGGTGTGCGCTGTTTCACGAGATCTTCTGTGCCTCCATGAGCCCCCTGCGTCAGAGTGGGGCAGCAGGGGCAGCAGGTCAGGGGTACCCAGCTACGTACAGTGGTTATTCGGGTAGCAGAATCGACCGCAGATCTTATTTTCTTCTTTATACTTTTGCGTACTTGCTGGGTTTTTAAAAGCAATCTACACACAGTGTTTATAATGAAGAAAGCATTTCACCAGGTGAGGAAGCGAAGGGCTGGATCTTCTTTCACACCACCCAGCTTGCACCCCTCCTCCTTGGGGTTCCCTCTGCAGACGCCCCATCACCCGTGGTCAGGGCACCCGGCGTGGAGCTCTGGGGTGGGCCAGGCTTCCTCCGGTGAGGTCTGCACCCCTCAACCCTGCCTCTGCAGGGATTGCGTCTGTGTGTCTGATTTCTATTCCCAGGGCCAGGCTGTACCTGGAGGCTGAGTTAAGATAACGGGTAGAGATCGGACGGAAGGATCTGACACGCCTGGTAACTCAGAGACAATGTATTTACATTTGAGCTGGGAAGAAAGAGAAGTATGAAGCATTTTGCTAAGAGCATTTCTACACACATGTGCTCACTGCCGGGCAATACACTGCTGGGCCTCTGGGCACCGACATGACTTGGCCTGGGCGGCTAAGGAAGCCCCGGCCCCTGGCACCTCACCCCAGGCCTCACTGACAAATGTCTCTCTCTTGAGACTGACAAAGGTGACTGAACATACTTTGTTACTACCGGGGCTGTGTTGGCTGTGTACAATCCGAAATCTGCTCCTGGGAGTCAAGCACACTTTCTTTCCCTGCGTTCAGTCACCACAGGGGCCAGGCTCTGGCTCTTACTGGCTCATTTCTGGGTCTGCACCATGGCCCTCCCAGGGGAATCTAAATGCAGACACCTCTGTGACCAAATCAGACGCAACTGGATTCGAGGCTTTCCAGGCCCCGGACAGTGCTGTGCCGCTTATGCCTTCCGTAAAGGACAAAGGACAGTAGAGGTGCAGGAAAGGAGAGGGAGGCTGGGGCTTGGCCAGGGACAGGGCGACTTCCCAGCAAAGTGTCTCCGTCCCCTCTCAGCAGGGCTCCCGCCTGCCTGGGCCTGCAGCAGCTCAGGGACATCCTGGATGGAGAGCTGCAAGTGTGTGAACTGGTGGGGCTGGACGGGTCTGGGTCCCAGGCAGCCCATGACCTTGGTCACCCTTGGCAGGTATGAGGCCAGCTCCCTCCCCAGGCAACCAGGATCCTGAGTCCTCGGAGCCTTTGGGGCCCAGAGGCACAAATCACTGAAGCTCTGAGTTAGAGATCACCGCGGAGCTGAGCCCAGCCGTGTGCTTTCTATTCCTGGATCTTCATAAATGCTGCAGGTGCAGCCCTGCGGTCTTTGAAGTGCTGCTCAATCGTCCCCTCTCCAAATCCTCACAATCCAGCCCTCGTAAAACCCAGGATTACTGGTGGAGGAGGCCTCGGGAATCCCTGCAGGCGCCACCCCTCAGCCCCTGCTGCCCCAGAGGTGTGGGCCCAGGGATGTGTTCCAGGTGACACAGGCCCTGTGGGTCCAGAGGGAAGGGGAGCCAGACAGGGAGGGGCTGCCGCCGCATCCCAACATCTCTACTCACCGGGGGCGGATTCCCGGAGTGAGCCACGGTGTTCCTGGGAGCTGTTCTACTTTAAGGAGTTAATTAAAATGAACTGGAGTAAAGTAGCCCTTCAACCGGCTCAGCACGGCATCCGGCAGTCTCCTTCCTGTTGCTATGTCCTCCCTCCTCCTCCTCTCAGGCCGGGCATCCACCTGCCACCCTGAATTTCTCAGTGGGGCCGCCGCTGTCCCCGATATCTGCCTTCTCCTCCCTGTCCCGCGGAGCTGCTCCTTCCCGTGCGCCCTTCCTCGGTTCTCAGGCTGCTGCGTGGCTTGCCTTTGCCCCATCGTGCTCTGAGGTGCCCCATTTTAGCACTACTTACATTTGGTTCTCTCTCTCATTTTGGTTCTTCACTCGTTCAACCACATCTCACTATGGACCTGGACTGGGCACTAGAAATACAAAGTTGAGTGAGATTTGGTGCCTGATTTGAGGACATTGAGGGCCTTGTGAGTGTCACAGTCTGGGGACAAAGCTAGGAAATAACCTAAGATATGGAATATGTTACATTCGTAATAAAACTTGATCTGCTGCCTTAGGTGGGAGCCATGGAGTTGAGAAACCTTGAGAGCTGCCCTACTGGGCTCCCAGGAGGGTGGCCGGAACTTCCCCGTGCTGGGCAAACCTTAATGTACTTATGGTGGCAGTTAGCAGGTGCCTAGACCTGCACTGGGAGGTACAAGGTTGGGCTCCAAGCTAGGCCTCTTGGAAGATGTGTAACCTACGGCAGGCCCCTGGAGCACTCTGTCCTCAGTGCTCATAAGTCAAGTGGGTCTAACCAGTAACGCTGACTCTTCCAGCCCTGTGATCAGCCTCCAGTGAGGAACTGTGAGCGAAAGCAGCTGGAGCCCTGCAGAGGGAGGCAAGGGCACTGCCCGGATGAGAGCGGCTGGCTTCTGAGGCCCTGCGAGTCCTCCAGCTCACACAGCTCTGCAGTGGAGCCCCAGGAGCTCAGCTACAGAATCCGGAAACCTGAAGCCCCACAGTTAGGATGGCTGGCAGCGGGCAGGAGGTGGTGCTGCTGCTTCTCCCTCCTCCTGAGGACTGGAGACCACAGAGCCCGATGATTTAAGGTAACTACACAACACCGTGAGCCGGTCAGTTCTGTTCTGTGCAGAATAGCATCCGTGCCCAGACATCCATGCACCTCCAAAGCAGAACTTTCACACTCCCTGGAAATGGTTCTTACGGACCCAGGACAGGCAGACACCTGCCGTGGTGGGTGGTTTCAGAGTGCAATCTGCTCGGATTCCTTCTCCTGGCCTTGACAAGTGCGGTCAGGGTGATTGGGAGCCCGTCAGCCCGAGTCTGGGGCTCGGTAGATAAATCCATCATTGCTCCAAGCAGCTTTGTGCTGCACCATGGTGCTAAAGATCACAAAATTAATCAGCTGGAGGGGAGACTGTTGGAGGGGAATGGACGGAGAGAGATTTGAATAGAAAGGAATGCATTTGGACAGCGGTGATTTATCTTCACACCTGACGCATCCCCCGGGCCTAGAAAACACAGCAACACGTGATGGAAAGAAACGTGCAGGGGTGGGACGAGCGTTCCAGGGAGCATGAGGAGGCTTTTCTTCTTACAGTAAAAGCATATTTGGCAAAATTTGTGATTCCCCTTCCCACATGGAGTGGTGTTTGTTGGGTTGGGTCTTGTGAGACGAGAAGGGAAACCCCATTTGGCTTGCAAGAAGAAAACAATCATGCTGGGCACGAGCCAGGCAGAGCTGGGTGGGGCCCAAACTGTGCGGACCACAGCGATGGCGGTGACAGTCTCGCCCCACGGCTGGGCTGCACGAGGTGTGCTGGGTGAAGCAGCACAGCAAACTGGCACCGGGCAGTGCCTCCTCACGGACTAGACAGGGGCAGTCCCCGGAACAGGGTCTCGGCTCCATTTCTGGAAAAGAAGCGAATATTCCCTTGATTCTGTGTTTGGGGCTGAACCGGGCTTTTCCTCACGGCAGGTGTGCGTCGACAGCCAGCACCACAAGCAAACTGCCCCACCTAAATTCTGGTCCTCAAACCGGGACCACAGGGCAGCCACTCTGGCCCTCCACCAGCCCTCCCATCACTTCTTCCAAATCATTTTATGGCACAAGAATTGTCTGCTCCCCAGGAGATAGCATCAGTCCAAAGTTTGTAATCGCTTTGACTTTTTAATATTTGGAAATATATTACATTGATTAAGAAGAGTTTAAATTTAGAAATGGTCCAAGTGTCCACCTATGGCTAAATGACAAGTTCTACTCGTCTCTCAGCTGAATGTGAGCTGTCCCACTACAGTTACAAAAGCACTGGAACTCCTTCTGGGTCCGGAGATGGCTTTTGCTGGTAGGAGTCTCTCTGTCCCTGGGTCCCTCTGCCACTCCTCCCACAATGAAGGGGACACCTGCCTCCCTGTCAAGGGAACACTAGCCAGGTGGTGTCATTTGGAGCTGCATGGGGCGTGCTGGCTTCATCTGTGTGGCTCCTGCAGGAGGCCAGCCGGCTGTCCCCTTGGGGGAGGCCAGAGGACTCCCTGGTCTTTTCTGCATCAGTGTCCCCAGGAGTACTCTTGGAAAACTGGGCCCCCAGGGGATCTTTCAGTCCCACTGTGCACCTTTTTTGTAGGAAAACATGCTGGGAGGAGAGGGCCATGCTGTCCGGGGAGGACAAGTAAGGATTCCCCACATGTATGGGTTTTCTTCAAATAAAGATATAACCACACAAAAAGAGTCCAACAAAATTCATACTGCCACCCCTGGTAGGCTTTCACCTTTGAGTTGCCCTTAGGGTCTCTTTTCACTGCCTCCTTTGCCTTGAGGGCTGAGCGGCCAGCAGAGCTCCTGCCTGGCAGGTCCTGATGCCGTCTGTCTGTCCATCCCCCAGGCTCTTCGATCTTTCCGCCACCTCCAGTGTGCTAATGGCAGACTCCAGGTCCCTGGGGAGTCACACTGCTTTCCCCCTCCAGGGCCATCAGGAGAGAGGGGTGGCAGTATCAAGTGCATTAGGAGGAAACACCAGGAAAGGGGTGTGGAGGACCTCTTGTTTTCTGGCTTCCCAGACTGGGGGGTGTGCTGTGCAGGTCTCATCCAGGTGGGAAACATTTCATGCCAAGTCTTCAGCCACACTCAGGACTCTCAGATAAATCCAGAGATTTGGCGTTCACATTTTGAAGAGAAGAAAGGCAATCTGAGCCTCATAGTATTCTTATATATAATATGGTTGTATATCTGTCTACAGTGTCAGTTTGTCTAAATAAGAATTTATCCTAAATTGAGTCATGGGTTAACTGGAAACTCTTAGTTACGATTTTGCTGAAACTCTTCATTTTATAAGGGAAATTCAGTGAAATGTGGCATGCCTCTGTGCCACAGTGACCAAATTTTGTACCATATTGTTGTATCTTCTATTTGCCAGATTTGTCTTAAAGTTTCCTCTCCCCTCCACCCCTGCCGTCTTGCTTATTTTAAGTAGAAAGGGATTTCCCCAGACGGCCAAGGCAGCCCCACGCCCAGAGCATGCCCCTTGGTTCCCTTCTTTCCTTGCTGCTGATTTGGAAGTCGTTACACTCCCATTTCTGCTCTCTAAACAACTGGAAACTCTAGCATGCATGCTTAAGTTAAAGGTGCTAAGATTAATCAAATATTCTCATCTTCATTCTTAGAGATCTTAGAAAACTTTTAACTCCAATCATATTTCCCCCCAACTTGTATCTACTATTGTCCAGGGTTTTACAGCTGTCTTCATTCTTTCACTGAGGTAAATTTTACTGAGAAAGGCACAGCTTTTAAGTGTACGACTCCATGTTTTTATCAAACATATTGTCAATCAATATTTGTGTTAGTGCAACTTCCACCCAAAATCAAGATATGAAATATTTCCATTCTGCTTTCTTTCCTTTTCCAGTTAATTCTCACACCCATATTGTTTGAAAGCTGTTGCATTTCTGTCACCTTAAGTTAGCAGTCCTAGTCTAAGGGTTCATATACATGGAATAATACTGCATTATTCTTTGTGTATGGGTTTCTGCTCAAATGAGTTCTAAAATTCATTCTCAATGTTGTATATATCAGCAGTGTAATGGTTTTTTAAGTTTGTTCCTGGAAACCCTCAAACCCTTTCATGGTCTCCGTGAGGTCACAGAGTATTTTTATAATTAACGAATGCTCTGTGGATGTTGATTTTTTTTCACCAGAGTATGGTATGGTCTCCCCAGGCTACGGCAATCTGACATCACGGCAGACTGAATGAAGAAGCAGATATGAGAATCCAGATGCCGTATTCTTAACTTAGACCTTAACAAGAGCCTTAAAAATAAAACAATATCACTTTTCTCATTAAATATTTTGGTTTGACAAGTGTAATTATTTTCATAAAAGTAGTCAATGTAGTAAAATTATTATTTTTAAATGAACAAGTGAAGAAAGTTTTGAGTTGCTTAGTTTTAATTTCTAATATGGCAAATAATAGCTATAAGCCATGGTTTAAACAGCCCTTTGGGGTTTTCAATGACTTGTAAGTGGAGAAAGTGATCCTGAGACCAAAAAGTTTGATCATTACTTTTTTGTTTTGTTTTGTTTTGGTACCGGGGATTGCACTCAGGCCCTTGCGCGGCACGCGGCAGCACCACTGAGCCAATTCCCCAGCCCAAGTTTGATCATTTCTGCAGTAGTTTGTATTTGGTTTTGGGGGCAAGATCCTGTTCCATTGCTAAATCATGCCCGTCCGGGCTCAACTTTCTATCCTCCTGCCTCAGCCTCCCAGAGGGCGGGGATCGCAGGTGTGCACTCCACCTCCACTCTTTGTTACTGCCGCATGGCTTTCCACTTCTTACGCAGAAGTTTGCTCGGTTACTGTTTGCAGTTTTGGGGACTGTAAGGAAGATGCCGCAAGATCTACGCAAGATGTATGAGGCTTTCGATGGATGGGTCGTTTTTTCCTGTTAGACAAACGCTTAGGAGCGCGAATGCTCATTGCAGGAACGGGTTGAGCTGCCGCCGTTCCCGGGTGGGCTCTGACACTTGGCACCAGTCTCGCTATCGTCCCTGTGTCTTTTCCCGTCTGATCAGTGGTCACAGCTCCTCCTGGGCTGGATTCGCATTTCTCTGGTAGCTAAAGCCAGAACTTTCCTTCTACTAATGAGCCATTTACGTATCTTCTTTGGTGAAATGTCATCCCTAGACTTTGTTTTGCTGCTTTCGTCCGAAATTTGTGCAGCGAGTCTTCTCTCCGAGTCTATGGGTTGCCTCTCTTTCTTCCATTTCGTGGTGTCTTTGGATTAACAGAAGTTTTCCACTTGAATAAGGTGTAGTCAGACAATGTTTTTATGCATATGGCTTTTGTGCCTTGTCCAAAAAAATCATTAGTTACGCCAAGGTGGTGAGGAAGCACCTGTTTTCTTTTGAGAGAAGCTCGCCATATGACATTCACGTTCAGGGCCACGGTGCGTCCTGAGTTAACTCTTACACTGGTGCCGAGGCGATGGTCTCTTTCCTCTGGCCCAGCTTCTGCTTCTGGAGTCACTTGTTCCAGTGCGACGTGACAGACACTTCTGCTCACTGAGAGAGGAAGTGTGACTGAGAGCATCTCAGAGCCCCGTCACAGCCTCTTCCTACCTACTCCGTAGCATTAGAGAACGAGGCTTTCGACCCAGCACAATTCCTGTGCTTTTCCTTGTTTCTGGAACTGCTCATCTTTTTCATCATCGGCTGATGCCTCCCTGGCCCGTCCAGTGCTGGCACAAACTGAAGGCCAGTGTCGCTCAGGAAGCCCACACTGTTTACCTGCTCCATTGCCTAATAAGCTGGATGCTTGACATTCATCTTACAAGCTCTGGGAAGACGGTCTTTGACGTACTCGGTTTAAAATCACTCCAGGGAGCTAGTGTAGCAAACTGCACATCCTAGATACTCCACTGAGGTGAGCCAGAGTGCAGGCTGGGTTTGGAAAGGTCATTTTGTGGCTGACTTGCCCCTGAACCCCTCCTTGTCCAGGGTGCTGCATGCAACAAACACCCAGGTAACTGCTTCTCCAGAGAGGAAGGCCAGCGAGGAGAATGACCCAAGAGGCCAGTTTGCAAACACAGTTTCATG